TTTTAAAAAAGGTTTTTTTGGTTGGGATTTGTATAGACATCTTTCCTGACCTTGTTCTGAATATACCAGAGCTTAAAGCCACAATTAAGTTTTCCCCCCTATGATTTGGGGTCAAAAAATCGCTAAAACGTACGGAAGTTACGTTTGTACGGAAGTTACATTTCCACTAAATTGGCAATTTCAAGCAGATATGATGATGTGCGTACCGGACAAAATTCGGTATTTTGCGAGACATAAAATGTATGCTCTGACAAAAAGAATGATTTCCGTACGACAATAATTGGCGGAGCTACGACCCGTACGTACGGAATGTTACAGCTATGCTTTTAAAACCCCAGAATTTAACATTGAAACGCCTCTATTTCTCTAACCGTTTACTTCTCGAAGCCGCCCATACTTGGAATCGACAGCTGTGATCTTACCAGAGACAGGGGCGCCAGTGCTTCTAACGTCTGTAGCCACAGGGACTGCTCAGAGCGCGAACTTTTGAATGAGTCCTTCCCTCCGTCACCTCTGGAGGACATTTTTGGGGCTGCTGTCCTGACCAGTGTATTTGCGACAATAGTTTGTGAGTCGCATCGCATACGTTGCACGGAAAACCAGGAGGAACGCGTAGGAGGTTTCGGATTTTCTCTCCGACACAGACTTTTGAAGATAAAGCGGTCCAAAGTTAAGATTTTAGCGCGGAGGACAGTACGGAAGTTACATTTCGACCACATTCCAAGGAGTTTCGATTACTTTTACCTCCGACATTGCCGTCTTTCTAACAAACTTTAATTCGCCACTTCCCCCGGAATCAAATAAGCCAACCGGCATCAAAAACGACTGAAAACTAACGATTCTACGGCCAAAAGACACAAATATGTCGCTTATTTTGAAAACCTCCCATAAACGACCCAGGCGCAAAGCTATTATGGAGGCCTACTCGGCGCCTGCAGCTGAGGCAGCCCAGAGGTCGTCGGAGGCGAATGGGTTGCGTACCTGTCGGCGTCACAGCAACGAGGTGGTTGAGAGAAACATTCAGATCAATTATTTACTTTTATTTTTATAGAATTCACTGTATCGCTACATAATTGACAAAGTATACAGCTGATGCCAGTATGTGTTTAAGTATATACATCGCAATTCCATCTACAAATGTTAGAAATGAAACAAGACCACCAAATCCCGACCACGTATACGCACATATGAACGATCTGGCCATATCACTAAATCAGCACGGTCCAAGAGGAGTCTTAGATTTTCCGACGGGGCCCTGCGCAGTGTGCGGCGTGGCCGTCGTCACCATGGCACAGTTACAAACGAAATAAATATACAACACAAACGAGTGCCCCGCCCCAAACAGACATCACAGACCGGGATTACAGTTTCACGTTCACTACATCATCAACCAGGACGAGCACCACTACCAGACACGATGACGACACATGCGTCAAGTGACGCCACACAAAGAAGTCACCCTGGCCGGGTCCCGGGCATACGCCGGAGGCGAGGACGGGAGCTAGTCCAGGCTCACGTCAGACAGGTCCTCGTAGGTGGCGGAGGCCGAGGCCGCCGGTTTGCCGACGGTCTTTGGGGTCGTCGCGGACACCTTGCTGTGCTTGTAGGGCTTCGCCGCCACCGCCTTCTGCCAGATGGTGACCGTTTGTCGCGCCGGTTGCCGCTCCTGCGGCCTCTCCGGTTGAGCCTCCGGTTGACGGGCCGGGGGAGGGTGGTACAGCTTCCGCAGGTGAGACACCAGCGGGGCGCCCGTCAGCCTCGTCGGGTCCTGCGGGAGACGCACAAGACAAGGTGAGTCCGGGCTCAGGGCCTCGCCGGAGGAGCTCGGGGCACTCACCGGCAGAGGGCCCGGGGCGGAGAGGTCGGCCTGGTTGGCGAAGTCCTCGTCCGGGACTGGCCGCTGGCTCTTGACCGACGTCCTCCAGGCTGAGAGCCAGCTGCCCGCGGCCGGGTTGGGCCGCAGCTGCTGCTGCACCAGCTGCGGCACGTCGTCGTCCAGGTGCTCCGGGAGAACGTGCCGCTTGGAGGAGGACGGCGAGCCGAAGGTGGGGGCGGCCGCGCCCAGGGGCCGCGTGTTGGTCTGCGGGCCCAGCTCCAGGACGATCTGGGCGTCGGCGTGCGGGCCGAGCCGGAACCCAACGCCGACGCGGGAGTCCGTGCCTGCAAACGAGTCCAAGAAGTGCTCCAGTCTCAAGATGGCAAGATCAACTTCCAGCTTCGCTGTGATGTTTGCCCCGAGGAGTGGATAACTCTTGAATTGGTACAAATTTCATGAATTGTATTTGAATTGGACTGAATTGCTTGAATTGTTTTTTAATTGGTTTGAATTATTGAGATTCTATTTTACTGAATTAGCGTGAATCGACTTGAATTGACCTGATTTAAATGTAAATTGTCTTGAATTGGACTGAATTGATTGAATTCGTTTTGAATTGGTTTACATTTATTCTGAATTGTGTTGAATTAAATTGAATTGGTTTGAATTAGTTTGAATTGGGCAGAATTATCCGCTTTATATTCACTTTCTATGTTTAATATTAACCAGATTTAGTGTGGTCCACGCCAAGGACGAGCCCGCATTGCAAGGCTCGGTGCGAATCTTAGGAACAGAGCGAAGTCGGTACGCATCGCTCGTTTCCATGACATTACTTCCGTTTTAAATAATGAATATGCCACGATGGCTCCCCCATGACGATACGACCTGCCTGAGATTGCAGGGAAAGTGTCATGAATGGGTATTAAACAAGGAAGCCCCGCCCCTCTGATGGCAGCCGCGGCACCGGTAATGGTAATGGAAAGCCATTCACTTTGAACAGGCAGCTGCGAAATGCAGCACACCGGCGTGCTGCATGTCTTCATCGAGAGCCCGCCACCTCCCTTCCTCTCTCTCTCTCTCTCTCTCACTCGTTCGTTCGTCTGAGCGCCTCACATTAGTGGCCGAGCTAATATACCGATTCCTGAAACCGCGCTCAGCAACCGGGGTGTGCCTGTGCAGTAATCACCCCTCCTCCCTCACTAGAGGATCTCAAACGAAAATCCAAACAATCGTCGGGGCTCCTTTTGTCGACGTCATAAGCAGTACGGTTACGCACATTACAAGGTTCAGGTAGCCTGTCTAAGGCTGCCGGAAGCGCTCGCGCCTTCTTCGCCCGCCTCCGGTCTCCACATATTCGCCCGTCAGCTGACCTGGCAGCCCTAGGATATGGACCCTCGGGTGGCCCGGCCCTGGTTGCCGCATCGTAATGACATTGACAATGGGGCTCGGGCATCGGCTTCGGGCAGCCGGTGTCTACATTTAGTGAACCAACTATACATGGCGTCAGACGCACCAAAATCACGTGTGCCGCTTCGGGTTGGACCCAACGCGTTACCCGAGTCCCCACCACTCCCTCCTCTCCCCTCCTCCTTTTCTTTGAGGTGCGCTCCTGCTGGAATGTCCGAAAGAGCGGCCTGTCGTTCAGCCGGAGGGGGG